GGATGGGTGGCCCCCCCCCCAACTACATTTTCACCAAAAGATCTAATAAATACATGACCATCCCATCGTTCTGAGATACAGAAAAGACGACAAGATTCACGTTCATCGGATTATGAGGTTTCCAGTGTAAAATAAATCAACTTTGAATTTTTCTTGATCCTCAAGCCGGCGATTTTTTTTAAAAAATATTACTCGCGGTTTTTAGATTACCATTTGTATCCAGCTCTGTCGAGCTCCATCACCTATTCAAGGTTTTCTATCGACCAACTAATCATTCACGTTGTGGCAGTAGTACCATTTGCCAAATTCAAAGCAACTAGCTAGGAGTTTAAACAACGCTCATGAATGTAAGCAACTTCAAGGTAGCTTCGTCTAAGAACTGTGTGCTGCATATGCCCTTGAAATAGACCACCTAAGTGCATTGCACATCTCCTGTTTTATATTTCTTCATTAAACACAATTATGCGCACCTTTGCGTGAGTATGCTGAATTTGTTGAGCAAGATAAGCTTTTTCATCTTCCGAGATGCATTTGTGAGTAGTCGGTGAGTTCGTTACATACAAGCAAAACACGACGAGATATGCGCAACCCAATCCGCCAAATAAGTAGAATATCGAAGGCCATCCGAAGCTAAGAGTGCACAGGTATGCTGATATTAGTGATGAAAGAGAAGCTGCTATCTGAAAATATTCAAAGGTTAGGCGAAATAATGAATATGATGAATTTTGCAGAAGCCTGGTGAGAGAGTAATTGAGCACTCCTACGATCTATCATCTGCTTCTTGAAAGGCACAGTTTTGCCGAGGTTTCCGTCTAGGATGTGCCCGTGGTTCCCAAGCATACCATATGATGAAAGGCTATGGGATTGGAGACGGCTATGAGGGGGCACGTCCGTAATTTCCTTACTTGGAGGGGTTCTTTGAAACTGCTTCTCACCTTATGTTTATGATATACCTTAGCCCACATATCTAAATACTTTGGCGCTTTCAATTCCTCAGATTTTGGGAAACGCTGGAGCGTCGCAGACATCCACCGACTGTTCCGTCTGCGCGCATTTGGTGAGTCCTTTTCCATGTTCGTTCCTCGTTTCAACATCCCCCACATGACAGCCTCTTGAATCGCTGTCTTGTCTCACATACGATCACTTTTCCGAACACAATTTCTTGGGAAAGAGTATGCTGCGGAACCTGCAGAAATACAAGGAAAATGAGCTGATTTGTTCGTGTGTTCTAATCCGATGGGAAGAGTCTACCCAGAGTAAATACAATCGTGTCCAAATAAGATTCGTCAGCCTTATAAGCTTTTTGACAAGAAGTAGTAGAAGAGTGAAAAACAAATGCCGCGCGCTACTTGCGCGCGGCACGCGCTTCGACACACCTTTTTCTGACTTAAGCGTGTTCAGCGTGGAAAAAACGTTGAGAACACGAAGTATACGTATACGTAAACTACGAGTGCTGAAACTGTTGAGAAGAGTCGGATCGCCCCGCGAAGCCATTTTCCTTTTTCATTATAGTTTGAGCTAAAATCTCCACCATCAGAGCGATATCGCAAATTCTGGTCGAGAAAAGTACGAAATTCATTGCGAACCTCATTGAGAAGGGATTTTTTGACAGAGCTGAGAGTAAAAATTTTTTCCAGGGGTCCGATTTGAAAACCATGGCGTAACTTGCTCACGATTGGGAAAAGAGCAAAACTGTGCTGAAGAAATGCTCGCGACCATATCCTATCTTCCAATCCTTCTACGAATTTCCCGGACCACAATGTGATGGGTCGCTGGATATAGCCCATATTGGAGAGGAGAGCCTGCGCTTCAAAATGCACCAAGTTGCTGCTCCAAAAAAATCATTGAAAAATTCCGGGCTAGCGTTTCCCACGAAACTCTGCCTGCCACCGTCGATGAGCGTCTCCTAGCCATAATTAGTACAAGAGAAGGCTACGTAAGATGATCGTGTGTTCGTTTCGTAGATGCGATGCACAGTAAATAGTTCACATAAATTCACTATGTACCAATATGAAATGCTGTTTTTTTGTAGCCAAATTATGTTGTTACCATATCTATGGCGCACCCTGCATATGCATACGTCTGAAGATAGTCTGCGGGGGCGGCTGATATTCCGCACATCGACTCAGCCAAAGTTTGCATTCGAGTTACTCGGAGTCGCCTCCAATGGCCAAGCCCTTGTCGTGGACACATATGACATGCGACAAAAACAGTAATATGAATGAGTCCAATTTCTCGAGCCTGAGGAAGCCCCCAATATCGCTGCGGTGGGTGTGGCCGCTCGGGAGCGGCAGCTGAAATCAAATCCAAAACAGGCTCAAAAAAACGAGGACTAAGCAGATGACCTGTACTTTCAACGCACAAAGCTTGCACCAAACGCGTGTATCTAAAATCGGATGATGCAAGGTATGAAGTTGACGTCATCGCACTGACCGTGACGAGAGGCTACCACCCGCTGCACGCCGTTTTCGAGAATGGAGAACATTGTTCCTCGGAACATGCGGCAACAGAGGCGTCGGTGGTGTAGGTGTCTTCGTCACTACGCACTTGCTCATGGACGTCGATTGTCACGAAAGTTTGAAACACGAACCTGATGTTGGGTTAATCAATCCCGCCTGAGAAATGCGCCCTCACAATCAAGTCCCTTCAGAATCGCAATAACGCATTGAATGCGTGTGTGGCCTATACAAAGATTTACGGTGGCCAGCCGATGTACAAGTCGGTGTTTTTCTTCCCATACGAGCCTGACACCAATTAATCGACCCCACATGGGTGAAAGACTTGGCACTCTCACTGCAACTATGGGCACGACTCCGCGTACTCCCAACTTCTTGGTTATCAAGACCATCACGGTCTACCAGAAGAAAGCTAGCAAATATTAATGTCTAAAAACTTCTCTTACTATTGTCCCAGGAAGAATGAAATAAACCTGATTTCCAGATGTATACAGTGCTGCCACCGTGGACTTCTCTGCTGGCGCGAACCATTTACCGACCATGCTTGCCAGGCAGGGGAAGAAAAAACCCTAGAAAGTCACGTTTATTGGCAATACATAATCTCATTTCAGTTTCACTTTCTTAACCCATTGACGACATCTTGACGCGCATGCGCGTCAAGCCTTGCAGACCGCGAGGGACCGAGTGACGCGCATGCGCGTCAAGGTTTTGTCACCACTCCTTTTTTGCGAGATCGCGATTTTTTGGAATTTTTTGTGTTTAATCAATAGACAAAACATTAAGACTTCTGCAAACAACGTGGTCCATGCGAAGCGAATTTGGCTTATTCCAGCAACGATTTACCAAACCTTGGAAACGTCTCACTTAAAATTGAACTTTGACTTCTTTTTCAGAACAAACGCATAATTTATAGGATATAAAGTAATTAGTAACAACCACAATAACTTCTACGCGACAAGACTTGTATTTTTTATCGAAACAATCAATGCAAAAGAATTTCCTGAATCTACTGGAACGTGTGTGACCCTTTTTGTTTTTTTATGCCATAGCAGATTCTCGCTCTTTGGACATTGCTGCGTAACATGCAACACCCCTCATCCTGTTGACTCCTTTTAGACTTCTACGTATCTCCTCCAACACATGTCGCATGGAGTGACTGACAATGATGACTCGAAGTGTAGCCATAATCAACATTCAGCAGAGATTGGACCACTCCTAGTTTGAAGCCATTAATCCTGATATTCTTCACCACATCTTTGCGCAGCTTCAAAGCATTTACAACTCCAGCCATTTCATAGGTGTTGCTTTCGAGATGTTCCTTGTCGTTGATGTTATAAGAATTTGCAATTGGTCCGCGACTATGTGGCGCACGACTTGTCTGCACTTGTTTTAGTGAGGCTGTCGAAATTCACATATTCCAGGTTTCACCAATAGCAAGCCAAGTTTCTTGCTACCCCCAGTTTTCCTTTTCTTACAGCCTTCTAGGCCTCTAGGTGGCAATTTCTTGTCCTTGCTTTACATGTGCATCAAAGCTGTTTCTATATCGCTTAGAGGGAGCAGACAAGCAGAGCACCACCCTGCCGACTACTCTTTTCATTCACCAACATAATATACTTTTGATGTTGCCTCTCAGCTTTGGCTTCCAAAAAGTGCACCTTGTGGGAGCTGGCGGCGCTCGCCAAAACGCTCATGTCCCACGCGGCCGTAAAATCCAAAACGCGCGCTTTCGTCAAAGGGTTGAAATTTGTTTTTTTTTTGCTTTTTCCGTATTCAACTCTTTATTCAAGGCCGTGAAAGTTTATGTTTGTGTTCTTGGTCTGGACAGAAATTACCATAGCGAAAAGGTGGAAAGAATGCTCTAGTGTACCGGTCTTACTGTCAAAATAACAATTGGTAATGATTCTGAAACTGTGCCATCAAAACCGTCCATGTGCTCGAGCTTGGGCCCTGTCAGGCACTCTGTTAGAAAGTTATTCTGAGTGCGGCAGTTAGATCGGCCGGAGTCGACGAACTCTGCAGTGAGAACCTTGGTAAAGCAAAGCGGGCATACAGAATGGTAAGACGATCAAGAAGTCGCGAATGACAGTAGCGGTTATCTTCTGTTTTCCGCATTTCAAAATGTTCCTATGCTGATTCCAACTCGACTTCTCTAATAATTAAACTATTTATTCAAATTGTACTTTAAGAGGTAATTCTGTTCCTCTTCAGGTTTCGTATGAAATTTCTTTACTGAAGCACTAAATTCCTTTGTATTAAGATACCTTGAACTGATTCATAAATATAACTTTAAAAAGTCAGCGCTTCATAGGAGGAAAGCTAGCAAAATTACTAACCTCTCCTATCCCCATGACAAGTCTGGAAACGAAGTAAACATAAAAAGACCATTGAGAAAGAAGAGGCGTGAGCAGAGTGACAACTATGTAGTCAAGTATAACAACTGTAAATACATCGAATCAAGGATCGTAAAAAGGCAAGGTTGATACATATAATAACTTCTTTGGAACACAGAGAACATCCTTACCAATAAGTATGTTTTTTGGACCATATCTGTCTGCTAGAACACCAGCAAACGAAATTGTTGCCAGACCACCATAAAAAGTGGCAGATAACAAAAGGGACTGCATAGCTGGACTCCATAACAAATGACCCTAAATGTTCTAAATACAGCTTAGAAACACAACTGAGAATTAAAATAGCTTTGAGTAGAACGATGTTTCGGCATCAAAATATGTAGTATGTTGCATGGAGAACCCCCCAATAAAGAATGGGGCTCAAGATTAGCTTTGGACTGGGGAAGTAACATGGCTGCCGAGAGCTACAGCCAGACTTGTTGTAGCTGATACAATTTTGGAACAAGGGATGATGCCGTTGGCATAAGGCCCAAGAGAATGACTGCCGTCAAGCCGTGTAGAAAATCAAAATGCAGGTCAGGTTATATAGCATTGTAATTGTCACCGCACGTGTCACTAGGTATGCGGTTCTATCCAACTGTTATAGACTCACGTGGCAATATTAGCGCAGGCTGCATCGAATAATTATTTTACCGACCTTATTGGTAATTGTCGAAGTTGTATGATTGATTTTCACATAAATATTGTGCAGGGTGTTCCAAAATTATTGCCGCCGAAAATTTGTAGCAATAAATTTGAAACTTCTCAGCTGCGAAAGACGACGGAATTTCTATGCACACTAACTAACATTATGTGCTTCAACATGCTACAGTCGCATTTCAAAATATCCCCCATGAGCGAGGATAGAAGACAAAGTTTGCTCTAATCTTGATCGCATGTGGCACGAAGGTATCCTTCTTCATCTCATCCGAGTCGCTCTTCAGCCTTTGCATTTAGGACTCCAAACTGGGACTGCAAACTCGACAGGTCGTCTTTTAAACAAGGAACATTCGTGGGAGTCAAGTGAGTCAAGTTCTCGAAAGTAGGATGACCATTCCTCTTCACCAATGAAATCGGGCAGCTGTCGTGCACCACTCGTGGGCAACCTTGGCTCTGTGGGTTGGAGTAGCGTCCTGCTGGAAGGACTACGAAATGTTTCAGAAGACATAGTCGGATCAGTGCTTCATTACTTCCATCAGTACGTTCTGTGAGTACTGGTCTTGGTCAATTTTCACGCCTGCACCGAAGAAACCACGAGCGGCTTACCCTTGCCAGTTATTTCCTCGAAAAACAACATTTCACTCTTCTTATAGCAACCTTTTTGTGAGATATTACACGCTAGATGTTTCTTCCCAGAACGCGAACGTTTTGGTTGTTGAGGGATGGTTTTATCATTAAAAAATTTCCGGCCTGAGAAAACGACGAAGGGTTGCGTGTCATCACTCGAGTGGATTTGCGACTTTCTGCATTTTTTGGCCCTGCAGTGTCTGTTAAGATCGAAATTGAAGTGGAACTTCCGCATACGACAGTAATGGCAATGAAGCTTCTGTATGACATTCTTACATCGCGACAACTCCGATAAGCCATGCCAGCTGACTTCCTTTTGATGAGTCACCCAGGATCCCGACCGCTTGACAACGGACCATCCTAATAGTCCTATCTTCAGAAACATTCTACCTTTCTACCTTTCCTAGTTTGCCTTTGATTCAATCTTCCTTTCTATATCGTTTGATAGGCTCCTATACGGTTATTATAAAAACCCCAAGGAATTTCATAGTGCCCTTCCACCTCTCGTGTATTAATGATTGCAAGTGGCATTGAAGGAGCTTCCTTCATCTAAAAGGTATTGGGAGTTTCACATCAGTAACCATGCATATTGCAAGGAAACCTTCTTATGCAACCAATTAATAACAGGTAATGTGATCTTGATATTTGCCTTAGAGATTTCGCAATTTTGGCGCCAATAATTTTGGGACACTCTGTATATCATATGCCTTCGAACTAAGTTCATGTGGGGCTACTGCTAGCAAAACGCTTTGCATGTGCCGCACTCGTAAAATAGCGGCTCGTAGAACTAGGGTGCCATATTTTTGAATACTTCTACCTCTGTGCTCCATTTAAACTGGATGTCGTTGTTTGTACATTTCGAAGCTCTTGACTCTTCACTTTGGTTGTGAGCTTTCGGACCTGTCAGCGGGGAGTATAAAGGGAAAATGAACGCCGCTCTTGTCCTGAGGCCACTAGGTGTTATCACTCAATCAGTCTCAGTAAGTCACGCATCACATCTTTCGCATAGGTTTCGGGCTTGATGCGGTATATTTCCAGTGCTCCCATAAATTCCCTTTCCAGTAGCCATACCAAATATCTATGCAAAACCTTCACATCGAAGGATGGAACGTTTCCTTTCTCATGCCTGAATGTGCGGTACCTGGGAAAACTGTTTGATAGGCAGCGGGATTGGCCAACGCTCCTCTATGTTCATCCAAGCGAATCTTAAGTGGTGTCGCGGTCTCCCCCACATACTTTACACCACATCCCCAACACTGACTCAAATAGACGGTGCCCTGAAGTACACAGATCTTCTAGATATGCGTTATCGACAAGACTGTTCGTGGCACCATTTTTCCTAGATTCGTGACTATGTTAGGAGTTATTTCAGTGAAGGAGAAGACTGGAAAACAATTGTGTTCGCTGACTTAGAGTGGAAACGATCTTGCAGTGTTCCCAGCGAACCACAGTTAACAGGTCAAAAACCAAAATCCATAAGCTGTAGACTATGACCTCTGTTGGTGAGACAGAAGGGACTTACTTATTGAAAGCTGTCACCGCATAGCTGAACGATCATTTCTGAAAGAGAGTTTTCTCAGCTGGACAATTCGAAAGTAGCAGTAGAGCAGAAGTGTTCAGAACAGCGAATCGTAAGGGTGTGGCCTTTTATAAAGGCAAAGCCAGTCTGCACGTATACTTGACCACTCGTCAAAAATTTCTGGAGATTGGATGGGACGGCTATCCGCACCCCCCATGCAGTTCGGATATATTCCGTCAGACAACCATTTGTACATGTCTCTGTGAAACAATTTTTTTGGGAAATGGTTTGATTTTCAGGAGCACTGCAAAAAGTACCTAAAAAATTCTGATTCTAATTCTGAAACTCTCTAACACAGTAAGACAATGACTTTGCGAGAAAGATGACGGACCACTATTGAGCAAAATTGAGTATACAAGGTCGAATAAACGGTTTGTTTCTTGAGAAATTTTCACCTGAACTGGACCTCAAATTACGGAAGCTTTCCAAACAACCCAATGCTATGTTGCATATATTTTTCCATTATCACCAGTTTAAATTTTCATCATATAAATGGTGCAGCCTTTCGGGCCATTAGAACGCTGTCACTCCTAAAAAAGGCGAACAGTAGAAACATTTTTTGAGCCCTCTTAGCGACCTATCTAGGTCACTTTTTGATTCGACTGCCCCATGTAGCTTATTTCGTTCGTACGGTAGCCATGAATTTACCACAGTTGTGAGCCTCGACAATCACTGTTGGACTGTTCCTCTGCATTCTTAAAAAAAGGAAAGGAAAAGTGTAAATCTGGAACGACTCCATAGCCATGTATTTCCTACCGTATATCCAGCTTGTATTGCGCTATCGTAATCGTAATTCAATGGCCGACATTTCGATGATTTGGTAGTGATGTTAAGAATAGATTCGTTTTCTGCATGATGACTCGCAAAAGCAGTAGAATTAACCATGCATACGATAGCCATACTCAAGTCTAATCTCATTGATACAGTAACGAAAAGACCTGAAGTACGTAAAACCTAAACCAGATTCAGAAGTTGTTTGTTAGCATGAAAAGAAAACGAGTAACTTTAACAAACCCGTAGCTAACATAAGAGAAATTCGCAGTCGAGTTGATTTTAAGGAGAAAAGTGGATAATATGGGGTTCCATCCGTTTTCACTTTTTCTGTCTTTTCCATACTTGTCGTTTCTGTAAGTAAAACGAACGTTTCAGCCTGCAGTGATCGTTATGTCACAATTATCACAACAACCCTAAGACCCATAGGTTCTTTCTTATAGATAACGGCACTCTTGTACCCTCTTAGATTGAGCATGGCTGCCGGCTATACTGAGATTGGGCTTGTGGCTTGCCAACATAGCTACTGGTCCATTTTTAGATTAGACTTCATAACTTCTACACATATATAAATTAACAGAAAATTTGAGGATATGTTGCATTAACGATGACGTCCTGGTGTATTCTATCGCCCTATCAAAGCACACGTTCTCCTTTGTTGCAGAGGCTTGACTTCCTGCGTACTTCGTTTCATATCCTATCCACACTGTCTACTTAACTAAATTTTTCTAACCAGTTGGTTCCAAATGAAAACCGTTTTCCCTGTGTGCAGGGATAGCCGATGGTTACGGTCGAAAGTGGAACCACGTTGCACCCAGGAAAAAAATCACAAGTCCCTGCCGAGGCAAAAATTGCAAAAGATGATGTCGATATTCCCCATATTCGCCTTCCTTGAAACCTGAGCATCTGATATGATTGAACAATTCTTCTGTGTCAAACAGGTTTTTAGATGGTGGAACACTTATAACGCCTGACGTTTCGTCCAATTCGTGAAAGCGTTTCGGAAGTTCAGAGTGCTACCTATCACGCTTAACGGAGGGACCTTTACGTAGTTGCAACTAAGATGAACTTCCAACTAAATAGAAATTCCAACAAGTCACTCACGCCAGCTCACCAACACTGAAAAGTTGCTCAGCTTCAGAGACGTACAGGGTGCGCCATAAATATGGTAACAACTTTTCAAACCTCCGTAATTTCCTTGTACGGAGGGTTTCTCCAAATATGCACCTACCCTTATGTTTATGATATACTTGAGGCCACATACCTACTTTTGTGCTTTCAAGTCGTCAGATTTCGGAAAACGGTGGAGCCCCGCAGCCATCCATCATCAACCGTCACGTCTTTGCGCGCATTCGCTCCTCGTTTCAACTTTCCCATATGGCAGTCTCTTAAAACACGATTCGCAGACAGCTCAACGACAAACCTTAAAACGGTCGTCTTGTCCCACATACTACCCCTTTTCTGAGTACAATAGCTTGGGAAGCAGTACGCTGCGGAACCTTCAGAAACACGAAAAAAAAATGACTGCTGATTTGTTTGTATGTTCTAATCCGTTGGGAATAGTCTACCCAGAGTAAATGCCATTGTATCTAAATAAAACTTGAAAGCCTCATTAGCTTCTTGACGTGAGAAAGCTGGAGAGAAAAGGCAAATGCCGTGCGCTACTTGCGTGTGGCACGCGCTTCGCCACACTTGCACCTGAGTAAAGGTTGTTTAGCGTGGAAGAAATGTTGAGATCCCAGAGTAAATGTGTATTTCACACTACGAGTGCTGAAGTCGCCGACAAGAGTCAGACCCTTCTCATAGCCATTTTCCCTCTTTTATGATAGTTTGTGCTAGAATCTCTACCATCAGAGCGATACCGCAAATTTTGGTCGAGAAAAGTACAAAACTTAATCCGAACCTCTCTAAGAAGGGTTTTTCTCGAAGGATGCAGCTGAGATTCGAAGATTTTTTTAGAGGGTAGGTTTTGAAAAATACGGCGCACTGGCTCACGAAAGGGAAAGGGTCAAGGCTGTTGCTGAGGGAATGTTCGCGATTTTATCCCAACTTCCGATCCTACGAATTGCCCAGACCACAATATTATGGGTCGCTGGATATAGTCTATACTGAAGAGGAAAGCGTGCGCTTCTAAACGCATCATTGTTGCTGCTCCTGAAAATTCATTGAAAAAAGCCTGGGCTGAAGTTTCTCAAAAAACCCTGCGTGCCACCGTCGATGAGTAGCCGAAGCGTCTCCTTGCCATAATTAGTACAAGAGACGATTATATAAGATCATTGTGTGTTCGTTTTGTAGATGCGAGGCATAGTAAATAACTCACATGAATTCACCATGCATCAATGAGAACTGCGGTTTGTGTAGCCCAATTCTTTTGTTACCATATTTATGGCGCACCCTGTAGAGCTGATTAGACCGCCAGGTCAACCACGATCTATTTTTATAGTATCGTGAATGACACGTACCAGTCCACGTACACGTATCAGTCCCCACTTCAAAGCTCACACAAAAGGATGTATGGTAAGAGGTAATCAGTTATGTTGACGGACTCGTTCTTGTTGTTCATCCTTGGATTTCTATCTCTTATCCAGAAAGCGTTTAGAGATTTTCTGGCATCAGTACTGTTCTCGTAGGCCAAAATCGTGCAATAGACCTCGATTTCGCAACCCTTATGACCTTCTATTTTGTGCTTTCCTAGCGGTGTTGTCCAGCAATTTCTTCTTTTGCTTGCTAAATGTTCCTTTATACGAGCTCATAATTGTCTCCCGGTTTCTCCAATATAGCAAGCATCACATGGCAAACACTGTAGCTGGTAAAACACAGCCCTTTGTGCACAGCCTCCTACTTTCCCACAAGGATAGATCACGCTGTTATTCATGATGCAAATCCGATCATATAGACAATTTCTACCCAAACGATGTTTAATGTTGTCTCTTGGTGTGTTAACCAAGAGAAGTCACTGGCTAGAACCGCTCGCTTCAGGCACTGCTGTAACTGCGCAGAACCGATCTGATATGAACGGTAATTGAAGATACATCTTATCTTCAGCTCCTTGAGGGAAAGGCCTTGGTCCGCTTCGTGTCGCATGCTGCCGCGCTGTACATCCATTAGGATTAACTATTTGATGCGCTAATATTCTGGCTCTTCTCGCTCCTCGTTACCAGTGCATACCCCCACAACTGTTTTGTACATATTTCGTAGTACTGCGCGTTTAACAGCTCTGAGATGTGCCGCAATTGCGTGAACGTTATACTTGGAGCTTCCTTTCCTATACCATCTCACACCGTATGTTCCACTGATAACTCTTACTTTAGTATTCGAAAGGGCAACCAGCCTTCGCGCGGGACTTCACGGGTTAGAATCTAATCCCTTTCCACAAGCATCAGATGTCGAATCATGTCAACAGGGTTACTAAATGTGCTTAATAGATCCAGGTGCGAATGACATTCCAACATGACACACGATTAATGGGAAGGGTTTTAAGAAATCAGGGAAAGGGAAAGAATATAACGGAATGAAGCACGCCTTTCCGTCAGTGATAAGGGTGGAGAACTTGTGATATGACCTCAATCTTTAGGCAGGGAAATCACAGAAGCCCATCTAGCAGACACAACAGTCTACCAAAACTCGTCAGAAAAAGCCTTTCAAATGCAGGCACACAAGTTAAACACATTGTGAATCAAAGTAGGAAAGTTGGCAGAGTTAGATGAAAGATTCATTAGAAGGCTAAAGCTAGAAATCCTTGTGCTCGGTATTCAATAGCATTATCAAAACCCATAAGTTGTCTGCTGAAAGCATGCAGTCACTTTTGCCGCAAGCTTATGAAATCAGGCCTATAATCAGCCGTGTTGAAGGACCGACCGATCGCATTTTCATGGTTTTTGAACAAAATCATCGGTCAACTCCGATGCCTAACGGAACCTATTTACCTACCTAGTAACAGACAGGAGACTAAAATGAAGTTATGGAATCGAACGATAACGTGATTGTCATGTCCATGCAAGCAAAGATTAAGAAATTCAAGTTTCAGGATAACCGAAAGAAATATTCTTTCTTGTAAATCAAAGCAGTTCAATGGCAGGGAATACGTTAACCTCACCAAATAAGGGTACAGTTCACGCACAAATTGTTCTCGAGATTTCTTCCTAGGATGAAGTTGTGACCACCAAGTAAAGCAGAAGAGACGTTGTATGGTCAAAGCGGCCAAGATAAGGAGCAATAAAGGCTCCAAAACAGGTTCAGCCAACCTACACCTAAAGAAGAAGGAATTCTCTAGGCGTCGTCAAGGATGTAGAGGTTGCGCAATTTGCACCGCGATGCACACCTTGACGCAGGCGGCCTACTGTAACCTGCTGTAAGCCATAGCCCACACATTGGACAGCTCCAAACACCCCTTCCATGCAGCTTTCGCCGTCACATTCTCGTGCAAGCCCTGACTTTACTGCTTTTTTGATAGCCTCGTACTTCTCCAAAAGCACGATTTTCGCGTTTTCTTCGCAGATTCTGCACTAATCTAGACTATAACCTCCCTTACTCGTCTAAAACCAGATATCCCATAGTTGTCGTGAACTGTGCCTTCATAGCAAAGCGGGCAAGGACCTTCCATGCTGTATCACAAGGAACTACACGCCCACCATTACGTGGGCTCAAACCAGTGGGAAAAGATCTACCAGTGGGTGAAAGGAGAGGAAGAAATGTACCCTAACCATACTCTAGCCATAAAATCTGGCTAATCTGGCTCCAAAAAACGACTGCGGAGTCCATCTCGGCACAAGTAAGTTTTTTTTTTTTTTTTTATCTTGGCGGGCCTCGTTCTAACATAGTTTACTTTGCCAAGGCAACGAAAAGCCTGAATGACCTGGAAAAAGTTTTGCTGAAGATCCGATATTCAAAATCTGCATGTGGGAACGGCAACACCAGGGGCTGGCTTACTTCCGCCTGGCTGTCTTTTGCGTTATCAGAACTACTATTGATTTCTCTGTATAGCATGTTCATTCTATAAACTGTGTAGAGCTCGGTCTTGAAGGCAGAACATGAATTTGAGGCCATTGATTCAAAAATGCACTATCCACTCCAAACCGTCAACGACTATGATGCGTCGAAAAGTGAGCTGCAAGTAGGTGGAGCAGAACCCAAGCAAATCAAAAAAAAAAATGAGAGAACGTTAGTTTGCTTGTTGATTCTGAGTTTTCATTTATTTTTCCTTATAATTAGAATGCTGACACATAAATAAGTCTGCAACGGTAAATCGCACGGTTTACTCTTTCACAGGGATAATTATGGCTACAACTGTAGGTCGGAAGTGGAATGAGGCTTGAAATCGAGTAACAACTGAGGGGTACGTTAACTAAAGACAATTTGCCACACAGTAGTTGGCCACCTACAAAGCGGCACGCAAAACATCGCTGTGCTCCCAGCGCACATTGTACCACCAGAGAGAAGTCAAAAAAAAAAAAAAAAAAACTGGAACGAAACTCAAGCAGAAAAGCACCAGCAGAAACTACCATCAAGTAGATGAACAAATTTTGTGCAACTACGACTGTATTCCGCATCTTTGGCCTTACAACTCCAAATAGACTTTGACAGAAGGAATTGTGGAACCGACAAAGCTAAAATTGTGGCTGTTCGCAACTGGTCTTGTACCAAATCTCCTTACAGTAAGCTCAGAACTCCTATAGTGCTATCTACAGTGATCCATTGATAAACACGCTAAATAAATATATAGAATACCTTGGATGAAGTCTGAAAACAAACAGGAGAGATTAAGCGGCTCCGCTTCATGGAACTGAATACGAGCGAAGTAAGAAATAAAAAACACCCTTATCAGGCAATTCCATCGATTCCAATCGAACAATTAATTTAGAAAAAACCCAACTCCTTTTTTACTGCTCCTTCGCAATAAGTTTTTAACAAGCTTGGATTGATCATGTTCTGTACCTACTTTTCAATGTTCATAGAAATATTATTAGATTTGTGTAAGCTCTGCAACTTTATAAAGAAACAGTGCGTAAGTTCGTCAAACGAGGAATACTCGGAGCTTACGCAGAGCTCTCAGGATGATTCTGTTCGGAATGAGTAAAATAGGAGTTTGAAAAACCAAAAAATTTGTGAAAATTCAGAAACCTACGTTTCGTAAACGTCCTGAAATGAATGAAAATTCACGTTTTTGTCCGAAATGATAGCAGGAATAATCCCATGTAATACTCTTGCCCGCTACCGAACCATATGCATAGCATTCTCGAATCAACAAGTAGCCACTAACTTCATACACCAAGCCCTATGACTTCATAAGGTGCACTTTTTGTTATGATAACCCGGCTCCAAATCACGAAAACCGACTAAATTAATCAATTTCTCCTTTGAAACAAGAAACCGAACCCGACCTCCTACTAGGGACACAGCAGCAGCTTTTCATTGCTCACCGCGTCTATGAAATGAGTAGCGGGAATGGACACCTCAATGCAATGGTTCTCCAGCGATGATTCTGGATGAACGACCTTGGTGGGATTAGGTTTGAAAGTTTTTTTTGCTAAAGGGATCAGTAACATGTTTCGACTTGATGTTTTGTAAGTACTAAATTAAATTAATCAGTAACAATTTATGACGCTTCAGCTGCACAAGATCAAGTGCGTCTGGCCAACTTCGGTACGGAAGTACTCAACATAACTTCTCCAGTCTCCTATCTTCGACATTTTTCTTATATTGAATTCGGTCCACTCATGCAAACGCATAGTCCAGGCTAATGGTGCGGATAGAGGCCACTAACCCAGGGTATCTGGTAAACTGTATATAGCCTTACTCAATTACTCACACACGGATGGGAAGTTGCATGACACTTTTAGATTGTTCTCTCTGAAAATGCTCGCTTGAATACGAATCAGAGAGCCACATTAGTTACATCAGTATATTGGTTATGAGATAGTAATTCAAGCTGTAGGAGGGAGACAGTATAATAACGTCACCACTATCTATCAATAAGACAGGTACCTACAATCTGATAGTAATGAGAAACAATGATCTCGTCTACATGCCCAGGCTGACCTCTGCTCTATTCGATTTCCGAATTCCGGCTTAATTCTGTTATAACTTATGATGGCCATTTAAAACCATAGATATACATTTTAAATGCCGTATTTGACGAAAAAAAGGACTTACCATCTGTACTGGTATCGTCTCGCCTATCAAGCATTTCATTTGACTCCTCATCATCACAGGACCTTCTGACGAAATAAGTGCGCGTGGGAGGCGAAAGCATTTTTTCACTAGAATCACTACGGCTAACATTCGGCATTACCCTGGAATGAGTACAAATGCCCAGCATGCAATACAACTTTAGAATTCAGGATTTACGACAACATTGTCGCAAAAGCACCATGAACACGAAGCGAACTAACTAACTTTGATTATAACTGTTACTCAGATTAAAGGCACAGTTCACGTTAAATTTGGGTAATCCAGATTATGATGAAAAATGTAAGACAAGATAGAAAATAGTGCGATGGAGGCAAAGGAACTGTGTCCATCAGTGTTTCCGAAGCGAAAAAAAAGCTTCAAAAAAATATTAAAGAGGGGGCTGGACGAGAATGAGACCAGAAAAATGAAGAAGAGTGGGGCGTTTGGACGAGCTATATAATGAGTCTCACAGCGTAAGTGTGGGTCCTGGTGTGAATAACAGACTGCGGCAAGCAGAAACTCATTCACTTATAAGCATAAGTAAACAAAAAACCTTAGTCAGCAAAAGTAGCTCGCCTTTATCAGTCTCTAGGAGTAAGAAATTAAATAAGGGATCACGGCAGCAAAAAGAGTAATAGAGGAAAAAAATGGGAGAAAAACATCGCCTCACACTCGGCGATCAGCTGATTGTGTGTGGGTCTCAGAACGAATAGTTGCAATATGTACTGTTTCGACACTCGTCTGACGTGAAACTATTGTGAACTGTGCCTTTAAGATAGTCCTTCTCGACTCAAGCAGAAAACTAACTCAAATTCGTTGGTATGTACTTGCTAAATTAGGGAACAATGTCCACAAACGGTAAGGGAGAACTGCTGCAGTTCTCATATATTATGAAAACAATGGTAATAGGATTCTGAAAGTTTGACCAAATCGCTAACGATCATAGAATCAGCGAACTCAACTTGTCTGAGATAACATCAAAGGATGGGCAAGTAATTAAGAAGTGAGCACCACCCGTTACACCTCCCCTTTTCTTCGAATACTCAGCCGAATGAAAATGCATACTACCTGCATTAAGTAATCCTGTTTTAATGGTGACCTCGATATAATGCTTCCAGACGAGTATGTTTCTATTCGTATTCTACACCTTCCTACTCGTTTTAAAAAATTTCTCTTTGTCATTGTTTGCGATTTTCCTTACTGCCACTGTCGGGGACGCTTTACCCCCGAACATGACTAATAGTACTCCAAAGGGTAAGAGCGCAGTTTGGAAGAAGAAGCGAGTGTTAGAAAGCGCCTCTGACACTGGGTCACAAAGAGCAGAATTAGTCCTGGCTGACCGTAGTAATTTCAGAACTGGTGCTGCGGTAGGCATTATCTGCCAGGACACCCAAAATTGCCTCGCGCAATAACCGGCTTTCAGCCTGGCGAACACAATGGCACATCCTGTCCCGTATTCTCCACTTTCTGGCGGATCAAAGATTCTTGATTACGGTGAAAGCAAATTATGCAAATGTGGAAGAAATGTGAAACATGCAAATCGTTGCCTTTGAGATTGTAATTGAAGACTGTGAGCTCACGAGATTTCTATGGTGGCGCATTAGAGGCGTTCTGACTTCTCGCACGTTCCCAATCACGTGAGACTATTTCGAAAATCTTTATGATTCTTATCCCGCTTAGTACAGACTCGCTGGGTAAGGGAATTTCTCCCCGACTGCGGCAATCTCCCTTGCGGCATGCGGCAAATATCATTGCAACTGCCGTCACCCCGCCTCCCACCGATCGATAGGACGCAAATTTTTCGTTGATTGCCTTTATTTTTTATTAGATTTGACCGTCTTTTGGCCTGTTTCTTTTTCGTTTTTATGTTTATTAGACTTGATTAATTAGTGTAACTCCTCCTATGTTAGCGTCGATCAAGATCGCATTAGAATTGAATAGAGCAGCCAGCCAATTCGAATAATCAAAGGACTCCCTACCTTACAAATTGCGCGCTCCAATCTTCCATCGCAATCCTGCGTTACGCGGCGGGTGGGGCGTGCGTGACGCCGCTTTCAGGGAAAAGATTCCGGACCCCAGACTAGCTCCCAATTACTTACAACATAGCTAGAACAAAAACTGAGGAGCAGATTCGCATTTTTAACAGGGAATAACGCCAGATCTACAGCGAAGGCAGTTTGCTGAACTTCATGATTGCATTGAAGCAAATGGACTAACTCACATGCTCGCTATTATTACTTGAAAAAGTAGGAATGTGCGTGCACTGTTTTACGTAGGGTTTTAATTTCTCGCTACTATCCCATTAAATAGGTCAGATAATAAAAACGACACCTACTACCTGTAGTCCTACCATCCATAAACTATCTGTTTTCAAGAGGAAGGCAATTTCCCGGTGCTAGAGCCACTGTACCCGGGCCCGGATTTAGGATTTAAGTTGTGCTTGTCACTCCTTAATCGTAGTCGCCACTGGTTATGACTAGATCTGTATTAGGTGGGACAGGTATCTTTCGAGAGGCTCTTGAAATGTTTTTGAGCTTCTGAGCAAAGCGAAGCCGTCGAAACATTGGACACAACAAACACCTCAACTAAGAAAACTTGTTTGGTCCAGATGCAGTAGTTCCAAAAATAGGCATTATAAGAAAAATTGATTTGAAATACTTCTACAGCTGAGCTTCTAGTTTCTCGCATGATGCTCCGCTTTGACCTCGTTATTCTAGGTTTTAAGTGGGGTATGCAGGTATAGCGACTGAGAAAGATGGGGAAATTTCACCAAAATCTTAGGTCCCTACCATTTAACATCTTATAATTGTACCAGTCGAGTGGCCGGCTAACGCCGGGCTTCCCTCCTTCTTATGACAGAGCTGTAATAGTCGCCTGATGGGCCCACTCCTTCTTCGTCACAAATGGTACTATTTCGAACGCGGACTTTGACAGAGGACTAACAGGGCATGCGAATGGTATACAAAATGCGCCAAAGCTTATGCCTATGATCAGAGGTTTCCTGTTCATCTTAAAAATAACGACCCTTCGAAGGTTTGACTGGATTTGCAACCAAAGCCTTCAAGATACTCACAAATGAAGTCGAGTCATGATAATACCATTATCAAATGATTTTTCCAATGAAGCTTCTTTTTTCTGTGGATATATCATTATGGCCCCGGGATGATTAGCGAACAGGTAACATTTGTCAACAATAATATCGAAGCAAAGAGAAACCGTGATCCTTCATTGAATCACAAACCTTGCGGGGGTAGCGTGATCCGATAGCAAGAAATGGACCAATTTCTATCTCCTTATATTTAATTTAGTACCCTCAATCGGTCCCTATCACTGCACTTACTCTTCTTGCCAAATGAAGTATATCAAAAAGTCAAAGTAAGATTGTAAATAACAAAGGCGTTAGGAGTTGATTGGTGAGTGGTTCTTGCTCTGTAATGCCTCTTATGTGGTCAGTGTTCCCATCGTGCCTCCTCTTCTCCTAACATTTTGAACTTTCCAAGTCCATGGGAACAGGACTTATGAATTTCCGCTCGAACCTATATTTCGCGCAAACCCCGCCCATTGTGGGCGTAGTCCGGTCCTCCCGCCCACCATAAGTGTTCCCATCCTGCCGCCTGTACTCCTGCAAAATTTAATCGCTCTATGTAGGGCAAAATAAAAAATTTCGCGCAAACCCCACCCGCTGTAGGCGGAGTCAAGCTCTGCCACCCACTGTAAGTGTTCCTATGCTGCCTCCGGCTTTGCCCAAATTTTAGCAATCTAGGTGCACGGGAGCAGGAGTTATGATTCCCCACTCAATCCCCGCTTATTGTGGGCGGGGTCCAGCCCTCCCACCACCTACGAGTTCCCTTTCTACTGCGTGTGCCCCTACCAAATTTGCACAATTTAGGTCCACAGGGACAGGAGTTTCCGCTCAGACACACACAAACACACACGCAATCACACAGAGATTAGCGCGCCATATATAGTAGGATATTTTCAATGGCATTGACGCGCCGAGGGGCTTACCGTGTTGTCAATCAAAAATCAAAACTTCTAAAAATTTTGCATCACATTCAAACGCTTAGCCAATAGTCCTATTTCGCTAAAAGATAAGTAACGTTATGTTCCTTAGAAACTGATGCTGACAGCACAAAAATCCCTGATATTCCAAGCTACTTTTGAGACTAACATGAGAGGCAGATATTTAACCTTGAAAAATGAACTTCTTACAACTTCCTGTTTGTAGCTTCACTTAAGCTGTTGAGATAGCGGTTAAATAGAGGAGCCCTTAGCTAGAGCTATCGGGTTATAGAAAAAGTACCCAAAATTTCGGAAATGTCTAAATTTCTGCCTGGATCTCTGTTGCCTTTACTATCGCATTGTTGCTTTTGGAATTACCAGTCGGGCTAGACACGCTAAAGCGTGCGCCACATGCCCACTACCACTTACGTACGACTTGTTAGAGGACCAATATAAACAGTATCGGTTGGGTGTATGTCGTTCAGCGCGATCCCTCCCATCGCGCCGCCCATTCGACACGGTTTGCGAGGTGGACAACTTGGCCAAGTGATCGAACAACCCACTGCACACTAAGCTGATAGAAGCCTTATGGATGACGCCACGCTGATAGGCAGAATACGAGCAGGTCCACAATTCATTGTCTAATAGTAACGGCGTCATCGATCGAGCTTCTATCAGCATGATGGGCAGTGGGTTGCTCGATCACCTGGACGAGTTGTCCACCCCGCAAACCGCGTCGTATGGGCGGCGCGACGGGAGGAATCGCGCAAAACGACCGCCTCCCGTATCGGTTGACTTGTTTCCTCATCACGCTCACGTGACATTCACACCCTTCATCGTGCCTACGTGATTTTCGGAGGGACGCACAAACGGGCATACAATAGACACACAAAGTTGCCGCTTTGTATATAGAGAGATACTAAATAATCAGAAAGCACGTATGATAGCAACTCCATTTCTAAACCGTCTGATACCTCGTACTAGGGCACTCTTGCATTGATGTTTTGCGATCGGCTGTATTTGTACCCTACTGCGACGTAATAAACATACATACTTATACAGGACTGGCTCAATGAATAG